TGGTCCCGTTTTCGTTCATTAGTCGTATGAAAGACATGGCAAACGGTTTCTCCGATTTATCCTTATTATCATTAGAGGATCGGTGTCTGAATGTGAACTTCAAGTGTCCGCCATAGAACTCCTCGATAGGAATCGATATCTTCAGAGTTTCCATCCATTTGGGTCTCTCTTCGTGATAGTAGACAACGCTTCTGTATTCGCTCATCGGTTCAGAACCGGCGCCAAAACTCAAGCAATTTTGCAATGTTTGTGACTTTTCGTTGCATACTTTGACAGTCACTTCAACATTGCGTTCCGACTTTTTGCTCCCTTTACTGAACTCTCCGCTAACGAGTGTCAGATACAAGTCGTTTCTGATATCTCCGGGAAGTATCACTTCCGGAAAACCCATTTTGCGCGCAACTGATGTGAACGGAGAGACCAAATGAGCGTATTCTTCGCGTATCTGCTTTTGGTCGCCGTGGAGTAGTTTGATCGATACGAACAGTCCCTGACCTTTGCACTCCTTTTGGCTGATCTCTCGCGCGGATATGATCTTCCGGATCACGGCGTCCAACGAATCCCTTTCTCCGCACTGAGCGAATGGTATGAAGTGCTGCTTCTCTTCGTCCGTTTCAAACTTGCCGTTAAAAAAGTCCGTTATGTCCATCACTGGTGTCATCACATATACATTGCGTTAGCTTTTAAAGTAATTGAAGAGCAAATGCACAGTACCTGCGACACCGAATGGACGCCTCAGACCATCCGAAGACCTCTTCATATTCTGGTGATGACTCTTCCGTACATTTCGTGTCTCTTCTTTTAATTCCATTCCTCCGATACGAATGGTTTGACAAACCAAATACACCTTTTCTCGGGCCAAGTCTTTGCTCCCGAGATCCTAATCATCACAATTCTGGCCATTAGTTACAATATATATACAAATTTCAATAACAATTATTTACCGCAAAAACCACCCGAAGATTGTTGAGTTGATCCAAGTCTCGCATGAGTCCCTCTTTGCCCCACTTAACCAAATAGTTTTCGCTAATAAAAGCGCATTCTTTGCCGTCATATAACGTCATGAGAAGGTCCGCGTCTTCGCCGATACGACAGACAAAGTTCTTGACCGTAACGTAAAGATTGTGGTTATAACGAGAGGACGACCTCTTGTTCTTGTATTCAATATTGAGCGCCAATTGTTTGATCCGATCGGTGGCCNCTTGTTCTTGTATTCAATATTGAGCGCCAATTGTTTGATCCGATCGGTGGCCGATTCGTGAGCCCTATACAGGTCTATAGTACTTGTGATCTCAGGGTTGAGAATATTGCCGGAATCGTCGCGAACCACTAAATCCAAGCCTAAGATTCTGTTCAATTCAAATCATATTAAAACACGTCATCCGTGTGTTAATCGGTGGACGACTTACGCGTTTCCCTGATCTATCTTTGCGGTCACTTTCTGTTTCAATTCCTTCATCTCGTCTGCCGGTAGTGTTCCCGACATAATCTGTTTCCTCCAAGTCATCAATTCATACATCATTTCGCGTACTATCTTAAAGTCAGGGTTTGATGTCTGGACGCGAGTGAGCAAAACAATCGGGTATTAAATATATGAACGACATATCCATAGATATCAATGGCTTACGACATAGAGTTTCTTCCAAATCACTCCCCATTCCCTTATCACTGACGTTATCTCCTGTATAATAGGCGGCTCCCGAGGAATGACCACTTCGTGGACACTTCACACATAATATATCCATAAGTATATCGTTTAAACTTCATTATAACGACGAATAAAAGGTCAATAAATACCCG